TGGGGCTGGTTATCGAGGGTTTGGGGCGGAGGGTCGAACAGCGACTTGAAAGTGGCACAGACACGGTGGCAGCGAAGGTGTGAAATCACTGAAGCAGGCAGACGATGGAAGCATCCTCCGGAGCAAAAGGGGATTCTGGTGGGAACCGAAGATAGAGGATTACCGATTAAAGTGCAGCCTTTTATCAACACTCCCGGCACTGTGGGAGAGATGAGGGAACCAGTGGGGAGTGTGAATATGCTTCAAATAAGTTTAGATAAACAAGTTATAAGGTGTGATATTGAATTGAGTATACGAGGATATAGGAAAGGTGAATAGCCCAGGACAGAAGGAGCGATACCACAACTTTTTAGCACACATTTGGTCAAGGGATCGATTTCACATGTTTCTCTGACTGACTATTATTAGAATTTTCCCTTAATGAATTGAGTAGAGCTGACGTTTCCATTACATTTCACATAGCCTTACTTTACCTAAAGTTGTTCCCATCCCGGCTGCAGTGGACTGCAGTTTCGACCTCGCCTAGGCCTTATCAACAACTCTAACGGGGGTCGAACCGTGACAGTGCAGCATGCCAGCTTGATACATTTAACACTCAGCCACATTGCAACGAGTGCTCTTGGGTCACGGGGCAGATGTGAATTTCAAGGAAAACCATGTCTTTTCCCATATCAGACGCTCTAATGGGATTGATGATGCAGCAAACGTATTTTTGCTACAGCAATCGATTACATTACTAGTTTTTTGTATATAAGTAGATTGTTAGGGGGACCTTCATTTCGAATGAAAGCGCATGTAGAAGAGATTCGTTGTTCGATCTCACCAGATGAGAACAGATAAGTCTCGCTGTACTGCAGCCGTTTGGCTTTGATACGATATTCATGTTGACGCAGTCCGCGAGACTTCCTGCCTCGTTTCGGGTGAAAACGTGCTGAGATTTTGATCATCAAATGGTGGACATCATCGGCGCTGGGTGTCATTCTTGTAAGAGTCTCACGTTAACACTATTCCAAGAACACTATCCGGTTCTATCTTACTTCTGATGTAGACTCAATCGAGCCAAAAAATTAAAAATTAAAAACCTAGAAAGATCGATATAGAGTGGTTTGGTTAATTTTCTTTCATACAGGTGTTGTTATTTTTGCTCGATTGTATGAGTATGTGTATGTGTGCGTGTTAGCTTCTATATGCAATACGGTTCATAAATCAGACTTGTCAAAGGTTAAATCTCCTCTTCTGATCCTCAAGGTCATTAGCCCAAGAGAAAATCTTTGGCCAAAACTGCCAAGGTCCGTAAATAAGTATGGTTGAGATAATGAGATGTGAGCTTGTATGCATGAAAATCAATTTACGAAACCACTTGTCATAACATTTCAGTCAAGGGTCATTAACGTTTAACCCTCCAAGGAAAAGCAAGATTGGGGTTGCGTAATCTGACATTTCTGGTTTGTTTAAAGAGCTTAATATAATATTTTGGGCGAATGTGAGTGAATTTGAGCAGACAAATTGAGTCGCCTTCTTTTTGACCGCTGCTCAACACCCTCTTTCTCTTTCAATCTATCAATCAAGCATAAGTAATTCCTACTCAACTTTCTTCCACCGTTCTTCACATTCAACGCAATTCTTAAGCTATGCATTTTAATAGTCTCTCTTATCTTTATTTCAACCACAGACGTACCATAATCAACAAACCGAATAGTTTTAGACCATTTTATTTCATGTCCAGTATCTACCATGTGTTCGGTCACTTCTGACCAGCTACCTTTGCAAGCATTTTTGCGTTCTACCAATCTTTGTCGAATAGGTCGGCATGTCTCACCAACATGACACTGACCACATGAGCAAACAATCTTGTAGCAGCCGGATCTCGATAATGGGTCGTATTTTTTTCTAAATGATGTTATCTTAGGAGATTCATCGTAATAAACTTTCTTTTCATATCTACTATATAAGTAGAGTTTTCAGATTACAAATAAATGACTTTAAATAAAATAGGGTAAATAGATCTAATGTAACTGATTTACTGGTTTTATTAGGGGGATTTTCTGTTCGCATGAAAGTGAATGAAAAGGAGATTTGTTGGTCGATCTCACCAGATGAGGACGGATGAATTTTGTTGTACTGCAGCCGTTTGGCTTTTATTCGACGTTCATGTTGACGCAGTCCACGAGACCTTTTTCCTCGTTTCGGGTGAAAAC